TCAACTTGCTTGTACAACTTGCTTGTATATCAAACGCTTTTTTGATTTAAGAATCTTTAGATATTAGGACAAGAGACAAATTAAGAAAGGCAAGTAAGAAAGGCAATTTTGTTCAGCGAGGACTTAAAATGAGGTCCTAAAACCAACTTACTGACAAATTCTGTAAGATAAACTCTTAACTCGTACAAGAAAAAAATATATATTCTGGTCTCTTCAACTTGACTTCTACCCTGAAAGGTTAAAACTTACTTACTTGCTTAAATAATAATCTTAAAAATTAATCTGGAGACTAAAGCATTCCTCATGGTGTAATTCATGATACGCATGTTATATCTTCTTTTTGGGCTCAACTTAACTGTGAAAGAAAAAACCCTTAATCATTTTTTGAAGGAAAGGTGTTTTCCCACTCATCATTTATTGATGTTTATACAAAATAAATAGTATTTATTATGATTTACATAGCTTGGAATTGGAATTGGTACAGTGTGTTTGAGAAAAATATAATCAGAAATTATATTATATAATTAAAATTATGGAAGCACTTTAGAACAGATTTATTTTCTGCTTCAGTTATGTAGGTATATGTCAGTGTAACAATTATACCAACATGTTAAATTTAATTTAGCATATGACATTAGTTTGTTATGTGAGTGTCCTGTGATTTATGCCTGGTTGGAGAGCGTGTGCGTCACATACAGTACCTTTAGAGTCTCATATGAGTTTTGCTCAGCAGCACACAATACTTCCGGCACACCAAATCAGGCCACTACACTCTTCCGACCTAGAGAGAGAAAAAAAAAAAGATTTCTAGTTTCACTTGCTAGCAGTGGCCATTATGCTTCTTCTGGAAAAACTAAATGATCTAAAGGCTATTGGGTGTTTCTTAGTACTAAAACACACTAGTGGTTGGCAAGGTGGCCTTATCAAGATTTATGCTTAAATGTGCTTTATGGTTTTGCTTCAGTTCACAGCTCAAGTTCACAGTTTGACCTCAATCGAAGTGTTAAAATATGGGGAATGTGGTTTAAACTAAACCTTCCACTTTCACCCCCACACCAACCCACGTTTCTCTTGTATTTTGTGTGCAGTCATGATTCAGGAATTGGCGTATTACTGTAATACTGCAGAAGGATATTGCTTTTTTTTATTCTTTAACGGACTTGCTTTTATTTCTGCCTTCCTTTTTTGGGCTTCCTCATTTCACATAGCATCATTCTTTTGGAAAACCAAAAAAAATATGACTATGATTTATGATGGAGAACATTTCATTGAAGAGTTTCTACGAACCATTTTTTGGTGACCAACCATTTTAAGATCAAGATCCCTGAGGCAAAGGTCTAGGTCTCGATTAGCCTACTGTGAAACCTTTTAATTGATGCAACCAACAATGTTTGACAATGTATCCTGCAGTGAGTAGTTCATATGAGGTGCCGATGTTAACTTATAGTGTGGTGCCGATAACAGTCAGATATTTTTTATTAAACTTAAGCAGGTACTACAGTACACAACATCAGCATTTTATAAATCAACTGTGCCAGAATTCAACAAACAATATTAATATTAAGAAACATAATAAACTAAGGTGGCACGGTGGCTTAGTGGTTAGTGCAGTTGCCTCACAGCAAGAAAATCACTGGTTCCAGTCCTGGGTTGGCCAGTTGGCATTTCTGTGTGGAGTTTGCATGTTCTCCCCGTGTTCATGTGGGTTTTCTCCAGGTGCTCCGGTATCCCTCACAGCCCAAAGACATGCGGCACAGGTGAATTGAATAAGCTAAATTGGCCATAGTGTGTGTGTGTGAATGAGTGTGTACGGGTGTTTCCCAGTACTGGGTTGTGGCTAGAAAGGCATCCGCTGCATAAAACATGCTGAAATAGTTGGTGGTTCAGTCCACTGTGGCAATCTTTGAAATATAGACTATAGTTTTTTTTTTTTTATTAAAGTGGACTGAACATAAAAGAATTAAGTTGTCCTCCCAAAAATCTCATAAGTTGTGTTGTTTCAGCTCAAATTAAGTAAGCAGTTTTTACAAACAGCAATTGTCATTATTCGAGTGAAGTTATTGTGACTGAGTAGCTACTGTCTGTGTGTGTGTGTGTTGCATGACTGAATATGTAGTCCAGTGTTTCCCTTACAATTATATAAGGGGGGCGCCCTGCCCTCCCAACGGCTGTACCCGCCCCTCTTGAAGTCACATTAATTGTATGATCTACATAGCGCCAGATCACAATTTTTTTTTAATAAACATGCTAAATCTTTTTCTTTTTCTTTGGCCTTTGTCCCGTATGATTAATTGCGGGGTCGGCTCTTTTTGGAACAAGTCCATATGATAACGACTTTTTTACACCTTCCGGCCGGCCTGTTGTATGGGCCTGTCACACTCACACACTCATACACTACGGACAATTTAGCTTACCCAATTCACCTGTAGCATGTCTTTGGACTGTGGGGGAAACCAGAGCACCCGGAGGAAACCCACGCAAACTCAGGGAGAACATGTAAACTCCTCAAAGAAATGCCAACTGAGCCAAGGTTCGAACCAGCGACCCAGTGACCTTCTTGCTGCTACCCACTCCGCCGCCCCAATAAACAAGCTAAATAGCCGTTTGTAATATCTTATTTACATAAAAGCATGTTATTTCAGTTCTGCGCTCGTGTCACTGCAGCTAAAATATATACAGATGCAGACATCCCAAGTCTCTCGAAAGTTCCGGGAGTCTACCGCAAATGCATAGAGACTCTTGGATGCCTGCAAACAAATGATAACCTCACGGAAACCGCGCCTCTCTCGCCCGGTCCTTAAATACGTCCTGCATCCCTCCCCGGTCTTCAGATATGTCCTGCACATCCCATGCAGTGATGCAAGCGGAGCTATTTCCTCTATCTAGTGTCTAGTTATGACCTCTACCGTAAGCTCTGCGTGTCTTCAGCAAATTTATACTGGCATCTTGATCTCCCAAAATGAATAAAAATACCTGGAAGTCATGGCGACGAGAGTAAATGAGCAAGTGAACAGATCGCGAAAGGCAAAGTGATGGTCTAAACATTACCTTTGATAGGTTAAATGAATAGAGCAGTAAATATATCGCGAGTGCAAATCCCCCTCTCTCTCTCATTGACAGACCGGCTGTAATTAGTTGAAGATGAGCAAAATGTCCCCCCGCCCACCACCTTTTAGTTCATGTGAATGTAAGTGTTTACCAGCAATCTCTGGTTGTAGATCCCGAGTGATCGTGACACTGTGAGTTCTCTGCTGTTTGTTTCTCTGCTCGTAGCACACAGCCAGTCAGTGGCACTCTGATGTCTGTCACTATAGTAAAAAGTGATTAGTTATTCGCTCACTTTCTTTGACTTAGTCCCTGATTTATCAGGGAGCGCCACAGCAAAAATTCAGCTTTTTTAGCTTTATTTGTATAGTTCTTTTACAATGTAGATTGTGTCAAAGCAGCTTCACATAAATGGTCAGTAATTGGAACAGAGTAGTTCAGTTTTTAGTGTTTAAGTTCAGTTCAGTTTAGCTCAGTTCAGTGTGGTTTGAAATCATTACTGAGAGTCCAAACACTGAAGAGCAAATCCATCGATGGGTAGCTCTACCGATACCAAACCATGCAAGCTGGAGGCAACAGCGGAGAGGGAAAAAAAACTTCACCAAAGCGAGTGAAGAAAAAAAAACCTGAGAGAAACCAGACTCAGTTAGGCACGACCATTTTTATTTCTCCGCTGGCCAAAAGTCTTGTGCAGAGCTGCAGTCTCGGCGGTGGAGGCTGTAAGCTGGCCTCAGTGAAGATTCGTCTGTCCCTGGAGCATCACTGGAATCAGTCTCATGTTCTCCACTCCTCCATGACCAGCGCTGCTCAGAACTGACAATTCCTCTGGCATTTGCTTTATGTAGTGAATGACATAACTAACATAAATAACTCATGAACCCCCAGTGCTGGGAAACACCTATAAACTCTTTCATTCATACATGTCTTTGGACTGTGGGAGAAACCGGAGCACCCAGAGGAAACCCATGGAACCACAGGAAGGATATGCAAACTCCACAGAGAAAGGTCTCCTGGCCCAGTTGGGACTTGACCTTCTTGCTGTGAGGCAACAGTTCTAACCACTGAGCCACCATGATGCCCCAAAGAAATAAGTCACTTTACTTTAAATAAGAGAGTAAATCAGTCGCCTTAAAGCAACAAATTGATTTTACTCCATAATCCTGATGTAACTTGAAACTCTTAAGCTGACTTAATTTCTATAATTATGCACATAGTTCATTTACTTAATCATTTTTAGGCTACATGTTAACTCACATTTCTATTAAAGTCAACTAATGGCTTTTTACAGCTGACGGCTGCACTTTTATTTATTTTTATTCATTTTACAACATGCAAATGCATTTATCTTTCAACATAGTAAAAATAAATTCACCTTCCCGTTCTTAGCAGAAATGTTTTCGTCTTTCGTGGAGCCCCCAGGACTCTAAACAACTGTTATGCTTTACAGAGATTAAAATCAATACAATTGACGTAAACAGTTTGACCAAAAAAAAATTGTCAGCTTTTTACATAACCTTTACATTCAGCCACAAAGATCTGATACGATGCCTCCTTGACAACTGAAACACGATAAAGACCCTCAGTTTGTGGTCTGAGAAAAAGAAAAGGCCACCATGACCTAGAAAATCAGGAAATACAACAACCAGATTCAATCTTGCAAAGTACAACTTCAAAGTAAGAGATGCATGATGCTATTAACGCATTTGCAGAACATTATTTTCAACAACTCTGTTGCAGTACAACATTGATAGTGTTAGAAGTCCACGTTTACATCTTTGAAAGCTACTTGCGTAGATACAAATCTATCATTAGGCCGCTTATATGGAGAGAAGCTCTTTGCCAACTATTTATTTGTTTATTTAATAATTTATTGAGGGTGGCATTTAATATCTTTAAAAAGTTATTTTGGCTAGTCGTTATGTAATTATACAACTTTGAATGAATATGATGGTGAGCCTTTAGCCAGCGTTCAGGTTAGTGGCTTTTGTATTACTCAGTTTTTAACCTGTTGTGGCATGACAGTGGAGCTGATTGAGGGGGTGTTCTTCCATTAGCCCTAGATCAGGGCTGAGCTTAAATAGACGTCGTCTTTCTTGAGGGGGTCAAATCACTGGTGGCACACAAGCTGGAAAATGAAGTTGCATGTGTCAGGTTTCTCCGCAGTTCTTCTGCTGTGGCTTCTGGTCTCGTCTTCAGTACAAGGTGGGTTTAACACTTTCTTACTTACAGTATAATGATTGTAGTGTTGCTACTAGATGCATTATGGACATGTTGATAATTATATTTGTATTTTATTATTATTATTATTATTTTGTAATTTGTGGTTTATGCTCCAAACTAATGTCTTGCTTTTATTTCCAGAAGACGCACATAAAACAGGCTGTCTATCCACAACAGATACTAAAACTCCTCACACGAATCTGCGTAGCTACACTATCCAGCAAAAGCCATTGTTCCCTGTGCATGCTGTAAGGTAAGAATATGTTCAGATTTATCTTGTATCATTAAGACACAAACTAAATCTAGACTAAAAACTTTAGTCTATTTTTTATGACCCATGATGTGAACTGAAATATTGTATGTTGTGTTTCATTGTGTAGATTTCTCACATTAAAAGGAATCACAATCTGCTCAGATCCGACTTCACCATGGGCCATTAAAGCAATGAAGCACCTGAATGGAAAGAAAAAACAACGTCAGTCAAACATTACAATCCGTCCATCAGTGAAGGTGGTTCATATGGATACATCAACGACAAATATGGCTCGGGTATCAGCACAGCTTAAAAAACAGACCTGAAAATCACCATCAGAACTGACCAGTATCACTTTTGCATTTTTAAAACATTTTCTCTTTTAAGAAAAAACGCACTTTGTTGTACATCAAACAGTGTACAGTTTTTTATGTAATAATAAAGAAATTAATGTATTTTATTTAATATATTTTAACAAACTATTTTTATTAGTATAACACCTATATTTATTCAACAAGGCAGCAACACCGAAGCTCAAAAAAATCTATTTATTAAATTAAAAAGGCCAACACAAAGCGTGTAACATTTCAGACTGATGAAGAGCTGTGTGCTTGAAACGTTACACGCTTTGTGCTAGCCCTTTTATTTTAATACATTGCCATCTTTTTGGAGCTTTAGTGTTGCCACCCTTTTGAATAAATAAATAAATAAATAAATAAATAAATAAATAAATATATATACAAATATACCTTTTACCGTTTGGCAGAGCCCCCATTTAAAGTGATGTGTGTGCTTTTCTAATTTTTTTACATTTTTTATTAATAGAAAACCTGTAATGTTTATTGCTCTAATGTGTTTGTTGTGATTGTGTATTCTTGTACATACAGTACAGGTTATATTGTCAAATAAATTAAAACCCTTTGTCAAATAAAAACATTTAAACTGCATGTATTGAATTAATGTATCAATATTTTAATAAAATAAATAAGCGTAATGCTGTTGTTGTAAAGTTGAAAATACGTTTATATAAATGTATATGATTCTTTTGCTAACAGTTAATTTCCTACCAAAATGTAAAGTTCAGCATCTAAATTATCTATATCCTATAGCAGCATGACACAGTAACAAAACAACCTGTGAGCGATGAAAGAAATCAAACAATGATAAATCAAAGGCTTCTGACTAAATTCTAGCATGCACTGTAGGACAAAATGAATACATGAAACCCCCTAGAGATGTGAACGTTTGTTGTAAATGTCAACAATAAGTCTTAAATAGATAAATCAAATACAGTTAACGATTTATATTATATACCTTAATCAAATACAGCTCAAGTCTGTATTATTAGCCACCTTGAATTATTAGCCCCTCTGTTTATTTTTTTCCCTATTTCTGTTTAATGGAGAGAAGATTTTTTTAACACATTTCTAAACATAATAATTTTAATAACTCATTTCTAATTTCTAATTTATTTTATCTTTGCCATGATGACAGTAAATAATATTTGACTAGATATTTTTCAAGACGCTTCTATACAGCGTAAAGTGACATTAAAAGGCTTAACTAGGTTAATTAGGATAACTAGGCAGGTTAGGGTAATTAGGCAAGTTATTGTATAATGATGGTTTGTTATGTAGACTATCAAAAAAAAAAAAAAATATATATATATATATATATATATATATATATATATATATATATATATATATATATATGGGGGGGGGGGGCTAATAACTCTGACTTCAAATTTATATAATATTGGTCTAATCCCAAGAATGCAAACTCGCAAACCATAATCACAAATTTTGACTAACCTCTATTACACATACCATTATAGTACCAACAGCTTGTTACGTACTGTATGTTTATTTGCTATTAACTGAATGGATTGAACTTATTATAAATATGTGTTTTTAGAGGGAAAATAGGTATATATGCTGCTTGGTACAAACTATCGACTTTTTGAAACAGAGTGTATGGCCGCTTGATCATTCTACTGTTCAAATTAATTATCATTTGTTTTAGTAGGTCATTGATTTTACACCCACGTCCCCAGTTCTGTGGAAGAGCAAATGTCCTCGTTTCTTTGCTGTGGTTGATTTGGCAAGTCGTCATCTTAAATACCTCCTTGTGGTTTTCCAGCTGTGTTAAATGACAAGGAGACAATGTGTCTGTCTGTTATTAACACGCATAGGGGACCGCACAAAGTGAGCTACAGGCATTATGAATGTATAGCAGAGTTATTCAAGTTAAAGAACAAGACAGACACTGAATTATAGACTGAATTCTCAATGACTCACGGTTGTCATCCATTTAATTCTAATCATGCAAAATGCTCATGCTTTTAAACATTTTTGAACATATTAATAAGAAAATCCATACCAATTAAGAAGTTTAATCCAAATCTCTTGGTATCCATGAATATTAACAATAATACACATGCAGTACAGTAAATGGGTCTTTAGAGAAATGGTCCTAAACTGTGTATCTAACACAAATGCAAAATCAAAAAAACTATATTATAATAAAAATACTAAAAATATAGAATATTTTGTTACCTTTTGGAGTTTGTAGATTTTCAATTTTAGATAATTTTACAATCTCTGACATTCAGTATGGCCTGCATGTTTAGCATCTAGCCCATATCCACAAAATCAACTCTCAAAACCTATTTCTAACATCTTCAAGATTAATATGTTCTTCTCTGACAGCTTATTTACTAAATCCACACTTACAATATATTTTACTGCTCTTTAAACCGTTTATACAATTCATTTAAAAAAGAAGAGCAAATTGAACAACTGAGACTATTAAATGTAACAGTCTAATACTGAATTAATTCATTTTTAAAATATTACACATTTTCTTCAGTGTATAGATTAAATACAGGGCACAGTGTCTCTTGAAAGTTTACATTCAGTTCAATTCATCTTTATTTCTACAGTGCTTTTACCAATGTAGAATGTGTCAAAGCAGCTTAACATAGATGAAGTTCTATTAAATCAAACTGCAAATGCAAATTAGCAGACATAGGTTTTTACAAATAGTTTGAAACAGGGGCGGACTGGCCATCTGGCTGACCGGGCAGTTTTCCGCTAGGCCGACAAACTTTTCGAGCCGGGCTGATCATCCTCTTAGATTTGATCGGCCCATAAAAGGCTTAGCAGCCTATTGTTTTTTAAGCCTTATTAATTGATGTTGCTGTGATCTGTGACTCTCTGAAAGTAAGATGCTTTTTTTTCCGGACAGACAGACCAGGCCGGCCCATGTGACACTCTGCAGCCCATTGTTCTTTTTGGGCTCTGTGTGAGCGTGCAACGTCGGTGTGTATTTGTCAAAATAGTCGAGAGACTCTGAGAGAAGAAACGGAAGAAGGCCCAAAGAAATAGCGGGAAACACACCGGGGTTTTATTTAGCGGTTCTGAAAAGTTATATGTTCATTCTAGTACACGGCTAAAAACGCAAATCACGTGACCACACACATACACTCTGCCGAGAGCTGCAGTCAGTAGTTCAGCTGGTGCCTCGAGCATAAACCCCAGGTGAGAGTATAGTGCATGTCGGACAGTTCATCAACTATCTGCTGAATCTCATCTCACTATAGTTGTTAAACGTGAAATTGAATTCATCTTGTTGTCTCTATCTAACGACTCTTCTGTCTTTTGAATCACTTGTTCTCAGGTATAACACTGTTTTGGCTGAGTGCAAAGATAAGCTAATATATTAATTTATGTAACCAGGTACGCTGATTCTGCACATTGACTGATTTCTTACCTTTATCGTATAAATTTATTGTACGTTATACTTTTATAATGGCCATTATTGATTATTAAAACTAATATTCTGCAAAAGAGACAGGGTAAAGTTCGTTCTTTTCAAAGAAAATGAAAGAAGGCAGTTATAATTAAACCCTGTTTTTTTATAAGAATGCAGAGTGAAGATGACGCCGGTCATATAAATATATAGCTACACGAGGCTGTTTGGTGTCTGTTAATCATGTCACATCAAAATGAAACAAATTTCCTTATATTATGTTTTCATTGTTAAGATAACGAAACAGCAAGCAGGATGAGGTGAATAAGGTTATAAATTACACTGTTCTGTTTGAAGATTTACTTATGCGTCAGCAGGCAGTTTTTCTTATGTTTTTTGTTTTATAGGCTGAGTGAATAGTGTATTAAATAAGCTAAATTGACTGTAGTGTATGAGTGTGTGTGTGTGTGTGTGTGTGAATGAGTGTGTATGGGTGATTTCCGATACTGGGTTGTGGCTGGAAGGGTATCTGCTGCATAAAACACGCTGGAATAGTTGGCAGTTCATTTCCCTGTGGCAACCCCTGATAAATAAGTGACTAAGGCGAAGGAAAATAAATGAATGATAGTGTAATTTTAGAACTTAACAAAAATCTTTATGGACAGTATACAAAAGTTTAATTGAGATTAATGTCTGTATTTATTTATTTCATATATATGGCTTTTCATTTCATTTTCTTGTTGGCTTAGTCCCTTTATTAATTCATCGTCAACACAGCGGAACGAACCGCCAACTTATCCAGCAACTTTTTACGCAGGGGATGCCCTTCCAGCCGCAACCCATCCCTGGGAAAATATATGGCTTTTGTGTTTTATAAAATAGGAGTTGATAAACATATTGGACATGCACAGATAGATAGCATTTTGATTAAATGTAGTGGGTCCAAAATGCCAGGGCCGAGTTTTTGCCCTAGTCCAGCCCTGGCTTGAAATCTACTTTTAATCAAACCAACTACACAGCAAAATCCTCTAGGTAAAATGTACTCAGTTCAGAGAGTATTTGGTCCCTCTTTAAATAAGGGCAAACAGAATATATATATATATATATATATATATATATATATATATATATATATATATATATATATGTGTGTGTGTGTGTGTGCGTGTGTGTGTGATGGAGCAGTAAGATATGAATAATTTTAATTGATAAGATGTGAATAATTTTAAAAACAAAACAAATATTGGAATATTTCATAATATTAAAAACTTTCAAAGTGATGTCACAATATTCCATACATACCATCGACATGAATTTCAAACTTTCAGTTCATAGTTTCTCCAGCATGCTCAATTTTGAAAAATTATTGTTGTTAAAAAGAACATCATGTTTAAAATAGATTGATCCAGAACGGTTTAATTTTTAAACAGTATTTAAACATGTACAATAATTTAATTACCTGAAAAAGAAAAGTAATCCTTTACTTTAATTTTTTTTGTGAAAACTTTTAACTAATTACATCCAACACTGGTTTCCATAATCGCATAGCACATAGGTGTCAAACTCAACTCATGGAGGTCCGCAGCTCTGTAAAGTTTTGCTCCAACCTTATCAAACACAGCTGATCCAAAAAAAATTGAGGTTGGTCCATTAATTAGATCAGCTGTGTTTGATCAAGGTTGGAGCAAAACTGTGCAGAGCAGCGGCCATCCAGCAAGTGAGTTTGACACCTATGAATAGCACTTGTCATATTATAATCATGATAGCAAGGGGGCCCCCTGGTGGTTCTATGACCTTATGGATTGTGTGTACTCTGCATATGCAGGAGGATTGGCTCTGCCTGATAAAAAAACAAACATCATCAGTTCTTGTGAAAGCTAAAATGTGCTTCATGGCACACAAATATGAACCTGAATGATTATAAAAAA